CGACTTGCGCGGTGCAGCCGGGGCATCCCTGGTGGCGCTACTGGCCGAGACGCTACGTGTACCAGACTCTTTTCACTCCAGAGTGGAATTCGGGAAAAGGCATGCCACGTGGCCCATCTCAATCGCACTGTTTGTTCGTTGTTGCACGTCGCATCACCAATTCACTGAGTTCAGGACCTGTATCCACCGCGTCACGGTCATACGGCGTGATCACATGGTGCTCCGTGCAATGCGCGTCATCAGTGGATTGCGGTTGAACGCCAACGACGCGTAGCGTTGCCACATGATGTGAATGTTCGTGAGCCCCTCTCTCTCTCTCTCGGTTTGTTTGCCTTTCTGTCTGTCTGTCTGTCAGTGTGTCTGTCTGTCTGTCTGTCTGTCTGTCTGTCTGTCTGTCTGTCTGTCTGTCTGTCTGTCTGTCTGTCTGTCTGTCAGTTTGTCCGTCTCTCCCTCTCGCTCTCTCTCTTTCTCTCTCTCTCTCTGTTCCCCCTTTTATCTCTCTTTCTCTATCATCCCTCTTTCTCTCTCTCTCTCTCTCTCTCTCTCTCTTTTGCTCTCGTTTTATGTTGTTGTGTTTTTGTTTGGTATATATATATATATATATATATATATCTCTCTCTCTCTCTTTCTCCCCCTCCCTGTCTTCCCTCTCTGTTGCTTGTGTTTTCTCTCTTCCTGTATATGTGTATATAGTGTGTGCATTTACAGTTATATATATATAATTGTATCGGTCTGTGGTCTCTCTCCCCCCCGCTTAGCTGCCCGCCTGGGTCGGCAACGCGCGGGGATGTCGAGGCCCTGCCTTTCGGAAACACCTTGCGTGACCAAGCGTTAGGCCAAATCCTGGCCTGGCCATTTAGCTGATATGCCCCCCCCCGTGGCCGTTGTGGACAACCCCGGGGGAGGAAAGAGGATGCAGTTTGCCTTCACCTCCTTTGGGTGCTGGCAAGCGAAAAGGCAGCGGGGGGCCCGGGGTCGACATGGCCACCCCATGACCGCCCGACTGTCACCCCGGAGCGGCCGAGGATAGGGAGGAGCAACGAACACGATTCCTCGTTTGGGGGCAAGGCACTGGCACCCGCGCAGCCGGACGCCTGTTCTCGGGCGTTGTTCGGGCTCTCTTGGGGTCATCTCGGGCTCTGTCGGATGCCACTTGGGTCTCTTCGGGGCCAGTCTCAGTGCGCGCGTTGCTGGCACGTCGCAGGTTGGCCGCGTGCGTAGGCATACTCCACGTAGTACCTATACGACCACCCTGCGGGTGATAAGGAGGTTGGAGGGGGGGAGGGGGGCCAGTAATGATTGTTCGATCGATTACACTATCGATTCCACTATCGATCTCGCTTTCGATTTCACTATTCATCTCATTATCGATTCCACTATCGATCGCTATCGATCCCACTCGATTGATCTCACTGTCGATCTCACTATCGATCTCACTATCGATATCACGATCGATCTCACTACAGATCTCACTTTCGATCTCTCACTATAGATCTCACTATCGATCTCACTATCGGTCTCACTATCGATCTCACTGTCGATCTCACTATCGATCTGACTGTCGATCTCACCACGGGACAACGACAGGACACCGGCGGGACACCAGCGGGACACCAGCGGGACACCAGCGGGACACCGGCGTGACACGGCGCGCCACCAGTTGCCGGGCGGAGAACCTTTTGGTCCGGCCGCGGCCCAGCCACTACGGGACACCGGCGGGATACCAGCGGAACGCCAGCGGGACACTGGCGGGACACCGCGCGCCACTGGTTGCCGGGCGGAGAACCTTTTGGTCCAGCCGCGGCCCTGCCACAGGAGAATTTCCTCTCGACCGCCCACGCAGCTTCGCCTCGCCCGCACGCATGGCACGCACGAACACGACACCGAAATCGATTTCCCGGTAGGGGGGCTCTCCGTTCCATTTCGATCGCACCCCCCAACCTCCGACCAGTCGCGGTCGCATGCTTGTTCGTATGCACGTAGTGCATTGTACGTTGTGCGCGTGCATTGTGTTCTGTGTGCGACACTGGCAGTGGTAGGGGCTATATGAAGGGGGAGGAGGAAAACGAGGAAGAGTAGGGAGGCCATCTTTCCCACATGAACTAAGTCCGGGCGTCAGTACAGTAATAAATCTGGCTGGCAGCAGCCAATGTGAGGCCGTCGTCGAGCCTTGGTTATTTGCGCGGGCACCTTCTTCCCAGAGTCCGTCGAAAAATTAGCCTGACGAAAAAAGACCCAACCATATGAAGCTGCGAGTACCGGATTGTGGGTACCGGTTTCGGTGGAGCTCCTTATGGGGCCACGCACAGTGAGGGGCGTGCTATATTGGGCGCGGTGGTAACATGCGAACCCTCCCGCTGGAGCCTTCGGTGGAGCTCCCTACGGGGCCACGAACCGTATAGGGGTGTGCCGTAATGGGTGGCGGCAACGAATGCGGACGCAGCAATTGGGGGCTTCGGTGGAGCTCCTTATTGGGCCACGAACCGTGTGAGGGGTGTCCCGTAATGGGTGGCAGTGACGCATGAGGACGCAACCACTGGGGCGTTCGGTGGAGCTCCCTATGGGGCCACGAACCGTATGAGGGGTGTGCCGTAATGGGTGGCGGTGACGCATGAGGACGCAGCCACTGGGGCTTTCGGTGGAGCTCCCTATGGGGCCACGAACTGTGTGAGGGGTATGCCGTAATGGGTGGCTTTGACGCATGAGGACGGTGGCACTGGGGCCTTCGGTGGAGCTCCCTATGGGGCCACGAACCGTGTGAGGGGTGTGCCGAAACGGGTGTGGGGGGCGCATGCGGGCGGTGGCATTGGGGCCTTCGGTGGAACTCCCTATGGGGCCACGAAGCGTGTGAGGGGTGTGTCGAATTGTGTGTGTGGGGGGGGCGTATGCGGGCGGCGGCACTGGGGCCTTCGGTGGAGCTCCATATGGGGCCACGAACCGTGTGAGGGGTGTGCCGAATTGGGTGTGGGGGACGCATGCGGGCGGTGGCACTTGGGCCTTCGGTGGAACTCCCTATGGGGCCACGAAGCGTGTGAGGGGTGTGCCGAAATGTATGTGGGAGACGCACGCGGGCGGTGGCACTGGGGCCTTCGGTGGAACTCCTTATGGGGCCACGAACCGTGTAAGGGGTGTGCGGGAATGGGTGGCGGTGACGCATGAGGACGCAGCCACTTGGGCCTTCGGTGGAGCTCCCTGTGGGGCCACGAACCGTGTGAGGGGTGTGCCGTAATGGGTGGCGGTGACGCATGAGGACGCAGCCACTTGGGCCTTCGGTGGAGCTCCCTACGGGGCCACGAACCGTGTGAGGGGTGTGCCGTAATGGGTGGCAGTGACGCATGAGGACGCAGCCACTTCGGCCTGCTGGAGCTCCCTATGGGGCCACGAACCGTGTGAGGGGTGTGCCGAAATGAGTGCCGCTCCTCCTCCGCCTCCTCCTTCTCCCCAGAAGTCTGGAGCTGTTCCCTGAAACCTTGAGTGTGGCGGACGCATGGTGGCGGTGGCATTGGCGCCTTCGGTAGAGCCCCCTATGGGGCCAGGACGCGTGTGAGGGGAGTGCCGAAATTCTTGTGGGGGACGCATGCGGGCGGTGGCACTGGGGCCTTCGGTGGAGCTCCCTATGGGGCCACGAAGCGTGTGAGGGGTGTGCCGAAATGGGTGTGGGGGACGCATGCGGGCGAGGGCACTGGGGCCGTCGGTGGAGCTCCATATGGGGCCACGAAACGTGTGAGGGGTGTGCCGAAATGGGTGTGGGGGACGCGTGCGGGCGGTGGCACTGGGGCCTTCGGTGGAGCTACATATGGGGCCACGAACCGTATGAGGGGTGTACCGAACTGGATGTGGGGGACGCATGCGGGCGGTGGCACTTGGGCCTTCGGTGGAACTCCATATGGGGCCACGAAGCGTGTGAGGGGTGTGCCGAAATGGGTGTGGGAGACGCACGCGGGCGGTGGCACTGGGGCCTTCGGTGGAACTCCATATGGGGTCACGAAACGTGTGAGGGGTGTGCCGAAATGGGTATGGGGGGCGCATGCTGGCGGTGGCACTGGGGCCTTCGGTGGAACGCCCTATGGGGCCACGACACGTGTGAGGGGTGTGCCGAAATGGGTGTGTGGGGGACGCATGCGGGCGGTGGCATTGGGGCCGTCGGTGGAGTTCCATATGGGGCAACGGAACGTGTGAGGGATGTGCCGAGATGGGTGTGGGGGATGCATGCGGGCGGTGGCACTTGGGCCTTCGGTGGAACTCCCTATGGGGCCACGAAATTTGTGAGGGGTGTGCCGGCATGGATGATGATGCTGGTGATGATGACGGTCGTCATGATGATGATGATGACGACGACGATGATGATGTTGATGATGATTATGACGATGACGATGACGATGACGATGACGATGACGATGATGATGATGATGATGATGATGATGAGGAGGATGATGAGGATGATGAGGATGATGAGGATGAGATGATGATGCTGATGATGCTGATGAATATGATGACGCTGATGATGATGATGGTGATGATGATGATGGTGATGATGATGAGGCTGATGATGATGATGATGATGATGATGATGATGATGGTGATGGTGATGATGATGATGATGATGATGATGATGATGATGACGATGACGATGACGATGATGATGATGATGATGATGATGATGATGATGATGATGATGATGATGATGATGACGATGACGATGACGATGACGATGACGATGATGATGACGATGACGATGATGATGATGATGATGATGATGATGATGATGATGATGATGATGATGATGATGATGATGACGATGACGATGATGATGACGGGAGGAGTGAGGAAGGGGGAGGAGGAGGAGGAGGAGGAGGAGGAGGAGGAGGAGGAGGAGGAGCAGGAGCAGGAGGAGGAGAGGAGGAGAGGAACGCGGGGCGACGTCTCTTGAAAACGAGGATCCAACAACACAGGTTGGTTGGGAAATAGCCGAACGCGTCGAGTCGCCGTCGGGTCCTCAGGAGAATCACTTCGTGCTGACGGCCGCGGACGACGGAGAGATGCGCGTGCATACCCTCAAGGCCTGGGCCCTCTCCTCCTCGTCCGCATCCTCCGCCCATAATCATCATCGCCCCCCTCGCTCCTCCCATCTCCTCCTTTCTGTCCCAGGGGGGAGGCGCCCCAGGCAGCTCCACCCGAGGGCAGGGCCCGCATCCATTTTCCCGCAGGGGCGCCGTGGCTGCTCCCAGGCACCGCTGCGGCTGGGCTCTCGGATCCGCCCCCAACGTGCTTGACCCAGATCTCCTTTCTGTCCCTCCGCGCGCCTGCTCCTCCTGCTCGTCCTACCCCTCCGTGCCCCAGCACAGCCCCATGCGCGCAGCGGGGGAGAGGCTCGCGTCCATCGCTGAGCCGTTCACCTGCTCCGACTTCTTTAGCCTCGCGGGCCTGACGGCTCGAGGGCTCGAGGGCGCAGTCAATCGTGGGAATCTCGCTGGCGTTGGGTTGGCGACCACAACTGGTGCATCGAGAGTGGTGGGGCGAGGTGCGCGTTCACGACCAAGGATGCAGGCTACAGCATCATCCTCGGAGCGAAGATGCCGACAACCCTCGGTCACTCGCACGTGAACGGCACCGGTCCAGTTGCTGGCCGCGGGCTGGCACTTCGATCGCACAGCTCATCATACGATTCCGGCATCTGCTCAGCCTTCTCCCCGCCCCCTTTCCGACCAACGGCGGATCGTAGGTGGAGGTCTACAGGCGTACGTGCGACACGCTGGTGAGTTGGCTCCGTGATATTCCTTACCTGGTCGTCAGGCGGGTGTTGCCATTGTTTGTGTCGACTTCACTTGCGGTTTCGGCCTCGCTGGGATCGAGGAAGACCCAGCTTGGCGAAAGACGGATTCGGACATTTGCAGCGATAACGCCGCTACGCGGCCGACGCCATCATTCTGCTCATAGCCGAACTCGGCCTCGTGACGATCAACACGGACTTGGCAGCGGCCCCACGTTTTTCGGTGCATCCCGCAGCTTGCAGATTGACTGGACATCCGCGCCAAAGTCTGTTCTTGCAGATATGTCAGCGGGGCCACTTCGAACATTGGGACGCAGATTGCAGGTCATTGCTACCAGGGAAACGAGGGGTCACTTGCCAGTGCGCATGTGCATGTATTATGTATGCTCTCCAGAAGACTACTTCGACTTGCATTCACGGGCTAATGTCAGAAAACGCCGGACTCAGATCACGTCAGACAGCGCAATTCTGTCCCCGTGCGCAGGGTCGTACAGAGCTTCTAACTTGGCTAGAGACACACGCCAGCACCCGGCGCACTCCGAGTATATTCAGTAATGCGAGCAAACATCGAACGTAGGATTCGGTTTCTGCATGCATGCTCGTTTAACGACTGGCGCCACACATGCCAGCGAAACACCGCAGTATTGTGAAGGATACTGGTCACTGGCACAGAGTACCAGGCGCCTGCTGGATTGGCAGCGCTAGCTTCGTCTTCGTTTGCCCGACCTGGATGGAGACCTCCTGCGGAAAGGATAAGGAGATTCGGCAAGTGCAGTGGCAGCTTCGCGCGCAAGCAATGGTTCAGGTCCGCAAGGCGCCACTTGACGCGGTGGCGGAGCTGCAGGATGTTTAACGTGCTGGTGGTCGTGCAGGATTGGTCAATTTTTCCAGGTTGCTGGTTGGCACTGGGGTTGATCAGACAGAGAGATTGCCGTCGTGCACCAGCTGCACTTCCCATGAATGGCCAGCTCACCCAGCGGTGGGCGATGCATCTAGGCCAGGGAGGCATGGCGGCGGAGAACATCGACTGGGCTTCCACGGCAGAAGAGTAATCATATGATTCCGCCACGGGCTGAGAGGCTCAGACTCAGCAGTTTTTTCAGGAAGGCCCGGCGTGGGCGTAGCGTCGCATTCAGGATATCAGGCGGTGGTTAATGTGGGCGCCAAGACGACGCGCTTGCCCTACATGATCGGCCCCGCTCGAGTTGTTGTGGATGAGTATGCGCCTTCATCGTCGAGTGTCACGCAGATACCACGGGGTGGGCCACGAGACCCCAAGCGTCGACCTTGACAACGCGCGCCGCTTCCTGGCGATGCTCGCGCGCAGAATCAGACGTTTTGGCCAGGTACCTTTAGCGTGGCATCTCATCCAGGGAGTGGCGGCCAGTTGAAAACGAATTATGAGCCTTCCAGACCCTTCTGGCAAGGCGTTCCTGTCGACGGCGCTGGATCGCGACGTCGGCGAGCCCCGCGTTAGCCCGCCGCTGCGTTCCCCGTAGGCGCCGCGAGGCGGCGAGTCATCGGCCGGCAAATCAGCGCGCAGAGGCCTCGGGCGGTTCAACATGAACCGCGTGGTGGACCTCAGGGACATCGCAAACGCCCTCGCGTCCACAGGCTGGTCATGCCTGGGGTGCGCCAGCTCCGCCATCATGAGAGACGACCACGCGCAGATTGGACGACACCGATTTCGGTTTGCAGCCATCATGTTCGGGGGCCTCTGCGCGCGCCCCAGCGTCGGGGCCCTCGTCGGCGACTCCTGGGCGGCCCGCGCGCTCGTCGGGGACATCGTCGGGGTCTTCGAGACAGCTTGGCAGCGCTACGAGCAGCTCGGACCTCCCACCGCGACGCAGTGCCACGTCCAGTTTCACTGCGAGGGCGAGGATATGGTGACCGACCTGGCCTTCCATGCTTTAGCCGACGACACAAGTCACAAAATTTGGTCACAGAGTTCGTCGCCATCTTCCCTGGGATCTGGCGCGCATACTCGACGAGCGCGAGGCCCAGAAGCTGCTGCTCCAGATGGGCCCCATGGACCAGAAAGGCGAGGAACTGAACGAGTGAATCAGGGGCTGCGCCGGGCCCGCCTGGCTTCCATCAGCGGCAGCGAGCGCGCTGCCGATTTGTACTTCCAGGGCATGCTCCAGGATGCCCCTCCCCTCGCCCTCCAGGCTCGGACCTCGTCGCACATCCTTCAGTACGTCATTGGAGCTAAGGTGTCCAAGGTATTTCGATGTATTTTTCAATGCCCCACTGACTGGCGCTTGGTTCGACGCGGACCGTCCGCCGGCCCTCGCTGATGCCCCGCGCGCGCTGCGCCTCGCCGCGAACTCCTTGGAGGAAGGGCGTCTGATGTGGCCCACGCGGCCCTCCGCCGTGAGGGTCGTCACTCGCCGTGATTCCCAGTTGAGGTTGTGCTGGGGCGGGCTTTCTCGACGTCAGCCATGGTACAGTTGTGGAGTGCCGAGGCGAGCCCTCGTGGTGTCCCCAATCGAAGGTATCGCATTTCCACCAAAGGCCCCGCCCTTTGCAGGGCCCAACAAGATGTCGTACCCCTCAAGTTGTTCACGAACGTCTTGTCCGTCTCCTTTCAATTTAGGGTCCCTCTTGCCGTCTATCCTTTTGCCTGGCGCTCTTCATCGCACCGTTGGTGCTTCTCTTTTCTCTGCTCCTATCCCTCCGCGTACCCGCCGTCGTCACGCTCGCTTTCCTCCTGCACCTCCTCTTCTCGAGCTCCTCGCCGATCCCCCCACCTGCTTCGCTGCGCCCCCCCGCTGATTCCGCCTGTGCCCCTTGCTCAAGGCCCGCCCAGTGGCCACGGCTGCGAGTCAAGCCTTCCTGGCGGGACACCCAGCCTCGCCCTCGCCGTTTTCCTCTGCTCCCCCGGGTGGGGCGGCACGAGAGAGCGAAGTTACTTGCCAGGCCTCCCACATGGGGTCCGAGTAGATGGGATCGGAGGGTCGCGCCGCATCGCCGATGCATCGGCGATGCGGTTCGATGTGGGGCCCGATTCTCTCCACGCCGCTGGCGCCGGAGTATCGCTGCGGGCGCCCCTTTCGACTGGCCCGTGTGGTTTTGCACCGAGGCCCCTGCTCGAGGGCGCTCTGGCCACCGTGGCTGCGCGCCCCCCGCCCCGAGGTCGTGGCCCGGAAGAAGGCAGCCGGTGGCAGCGCCGGCGAGGCCGGCGAGGACGGGGCGGACGGCAAGTCGGACGGGTGCGCCCGGCGCGGCCTTGGGGTCAAGAGAGGGGCAGTTGCGTTGCAACTTCGGGGGGCCTCGCCTGTCCCAAAGATTGGTGTCTTTCCTTGTGCCCGACGCGGTCGGATTCGACACGGATCCGACACGGACACGTCGAGGCCGACATGGATTAGACACGGATTCGACGCGGACAGGGCCGCGATTGGACAGACAAGGCCCCCCGAGAATGCAACACAGGGGCAGGGCCGTGAGATCTTTGCGTCGCAGTTTTTCGCAACGGGCGATCGTGTGGTTCGTTTGGGGTTCCGGGGCCTTCACGAATGGGTTCGGCTCGAGGAATGTTTCAGGAAGATGGGATCCGGGGCTCTGGCCAAGTTTTTGTTGTTCACGATGCTGCAGCTGGGAGAGGGGCTGTTCCTTGCTGCTGGTTTCGGCCCGCCCGACAGGCGAGTTCCTCGATGCGTTGGAGCCTCCAGGCGAAGGGAAGCGCCAGGAAGCCAGGTGCGTGAGCTGATGCGCTAGCGCCTCCTTTTCTAATCTATTCCTTTCGCCCGACCCGAGAAGGGCGCCGTGGACGCGCGTACTGTTCTGCTATCTTTTCTGGCCTGCGCAGCAAGTTGCAGGCAGGAATTTGTCGTGCGCCGCGCTGGGATACTGCAGTTCATGGCGCCGGGACGCGGTGAGGGGAGGAGGGGTGAAAAGCACACAATTTGGAAACGATAAAACGGAACGCGCAAGTCAAAATAGAGGACCTGGAATGGGAGAACCAAGCAAGAATAAACGACACGGACTTCGTCAGGGGTGTGGCACACCATCTTCTGTGAGCAAGAGATCCAGGCCCGTTAAGTTGGCCGAATTGGAAAGAGATCAATGATCTTGGGTTCCTCAAGGGCTACGGCCGACTGCCGAAGTCTACAAGCGGGTGCCTGCCCGTCGCCACGGCTGCGCGCCGCTCTGACAATTGATGATGATGATGATGTTGGTGATGATGAGGAGGAGGAGGAGGAGGAGGAGGAGGAGGAGGGGGAGGAGGAGACGGAGGGGGGGGATCGGGGCGGAGGAAGACGAGCAGCGGGAGGAGGAGGAGCGGGATCGGGCATGGCGAAGAGGAAAAAGAAGAAGAGCAGCAGGAGCTGGAGGAGGCATCGTCGCGCCTGTAAGCGCATGCGGTGAACTGTCGACGTTTCTCCGTACTTGTGATCTCGCGAGCGAATGTTGTCGCTTGACAGCGCCCACGATGGGCTGCAGTCGCGCATGAGTGCCTCGTGCCTCGATTACAGGTGCGCGCTTTCGTCTGTCTGCCGCGATGTACTCGGGCCCCGTGATACACGCGTGCGCTGTGGTGCAGTGGCCCTCTGTGACGTGCGTAGGCACGTAATGTACACGTGGGGGGGCCCTGGGGTCCTCAGCCCTTCGCCGCCTGGAGTCGCCTCCCCTGGCCTCTACGAGTTGTCTGCCCTCAGCACCCTCGTGTTCGCCAAGACGATCCAAGGAGCAATCTGTCCTGTCGCCCCATCTGGTCGATCCCCGTGGCGTCCTGGTAAGGTCGTAGCCAGGGGGAAACTTTTGTTCTCAGCCGTCCCCAGAACTACATTTTTTGCCGTCACACATTCCTGTGTGTGGCAGGTGCGAGCGTACGCGTTATTCCCCAGATCATCTAGAAGCGATTCCCAGGCAGATCTGTCATGAAACGAGCCGTTGATGAGCAATGATAAAACAAAGAGGTGGGACGCCAGTCGAACCAACAGCAAAATCAGCCCAAGCTGCACCCTTGTAAAATCACATCTGGGACCCTCGGGCCCTTCGGCGGATACTTGGAGCCCTCTTGGGGCTTTGGCCCATCAGCTTTTCCAACAAACGAAGCCCCCAATGACACCCCCGAAAATCCAGATTCACACAAACACGCTTAGGTGCGGCGATGGTGTTCCCCTTACGTATGCGGTTCGGCGTGGTCCCGAGATGCCCCGAGCGGTCCTTCCAATAGTCCCAAAGAGAGCCCCAAATGCTCCCAAGATCACCCCTAAGAGAGTCCAAAGAGTTGATGCATTATTTCCTGGGTTCCGACGGGGCAGCGCCAATCGGGGACCCGTTTTTGATCGATGGCATCCAGGATGGCCCCAGGATGCGCCAGAGAGGCGTACGCCCAGTGGGCTCAGAGATCAGCGCGGTCGCGCGTCAAGAAACCGCTTTCGCAGCGCCACTGCTCTCTGGGCATCTAGGGCGCTCGGATAGTATATTTTCATTTATCTATATGCATGTATATGTTGAGCATTAGTTGTGGTGCAAGTAATGTGTATCGGCCTACGTTGTGCTATATATGTGGTCGAAATTGCGTTATGCAGTCTACGTGGTGCAACCTATCTGGTGCAACCTATCTGGTGCAACGATTTTCTGTGCGCAGTGGGTTGTCAACCCCAGTGCTCCCACAATCATCCCACCGACCCACCCGCACCTTTGTTTGCAAAACCCATGCGGCGGCGACTGCGATGATCAGAGGCGTAGTTTCCCCACTGCTACTTTACAACAGTTGTGGGTGGGAAAAAAAGACACGCTGTCCGCCTGGGCCCGCGTCGGAGGAGCGGAAATGCGAGCGCAATGGCGCGCGCGGTCGCGCGCGACCCGCCGCTGGCACTACCGTGAATGCGCGGGCGTCGCGACGACGACGACGGCGACGGCGACGGCGACGACGACTGCGGCGTCTGCGCCGACGGTGACAAGGACGGCGGCAACGGCGACGGCGTCGACGACGAACATCGCGGCGACGGCGGCGACAGGGCCCAGGCCCACGGACGAATTTGCGCCCCGCCCTCGTTCCTGGAGCCCCGCGCCAGATTTTATGGGTGGAGTGAAATTTCCGTGCGCAGTTTTACCCCGGCCGTCTTTCCGCTTTACTGAAGCTCTCTTGTTGTTTAGTAAAGCGCTGTTTTTTCTGGAATGTATTAGGCGGCGCGCCTTTATTAAAGCCGCTTCTTCGTTTTAGTAGAGCCGCTCTTCGCTTTAGTACAGCCGCTTCTTCGCTTTAGTACAGCCGCTTCTTTGTTGTTGTAAAGGCCACGGTCTGCTTCAGTCAAGCCTTGGGGATGCGGGGCCAGGGCCTGGCCGGGGGGGCGGAGGGCCCTTGTTTTCCCGGCCAGGTCACCCCGCGATGCACTTGCTCGGGTAATCAGGGTCGCGTTGCATCGGGTCGCCGCGATCCTTGGAGTTATTTCCCGCGGGTTTTATATGCTCCTTGACAGAAGGTTTAGGGCGCGAGCGCAGGACGTGCCTCAGCAAATCGGACGCGCCGCCGCGGTGCGCGCGCAACAGAGCAACAGCACTTGTTACTAAAAGGATAGTTTCCTTTAGCAAATGGCCCCTTCAGAGTAATAGTGAGAATTTCCCGCTTCCACATGATTGCTTGGTGCTGGCTGCCATATTGTAGTGGCCGCGCTAGCCCGCGCATGCTGTCGCGCACAGCGGCCAGTTAGTTTGGCGCGGCCAGCGCGGCCGCGGTGACGCTTACAACTGGGTTATTTTCCCAGCGGGCGCGCCATTGCGAGTCGGTGACTTGGGCGCCCCCCCCCTCGCACCCACCTGCACCCCCGCCCGCCCCCCGTGCCGGCCCCCCGTCCCCCGCCCGCCCCACCCCCTCGCGCACCCCGCCTCCCATGACACGCGCAATGGCGTTCGAATGGTATCATGGCATCGGCGTGCGCGCGCGACAAAAACGGCCGTTCGCAGTTAATGGAAATAATGTGACATGTCCATTTTTGGTTTGACGAATTCGCAATGTCCGAAAAGTTTATTTGGGCCGAATTGGACGACGACGTCGAAAAAGTCATGGTTTTTCCCCATATCCTAAGATGGGGTTCTTGTTATTCCCCATATCCAAAGATGGGGTTCTTGTTCCCCATATCCAAAGATGGGGTTCTTGTTCCCCATATCCAAAGATGGGGTTCTTGTTATTGGCGGACCGCGCCGGAAGGACACAGAACAGGACAGAACACCACACCCATCACTCACCACTCATCACTCAGACTCACCACTCAGATTCACTCATCACTCAGATTCACTCATGCTCTCTCATCACTCAGACTCAGTCATCACTCAGACTCAGGCGATTCGCTCGTCTCAGCAATCTAAGGGGGGCGGCGGGGCGGTATTTCACGGGGTCCCGTTCGCGGAATTTTGTGGGGATGTCTCAGGCGGTTTGGCCATTTTCTGATCCAGCATGTTTTGTTTTCGGAGCAGATTTGGAGGATGTCTCAGGCGATTCGCTCGTCTCAGCACTCTAAGAGGGGCGGCGGGGGGGTATTTCACGGGGTCCCGTTCGCGGAATTTTGTGGGGATGTCTCGAGCGGTTTGCTTGTTTTCTGTGCCAGCGTCTTTCGTTTTCGGAGCAGATTTGGAGGATGTCTCGAGCGAGGCGCTCATTTTGACCTCCCAGGTGGGCCAGATTTTGAGGATGTCTCGAGCGGTTTGCTTGTTTTGGTGGCCAGGCTCGTGGGCGCAGATTCTTCTCAGGATGCCACAGGAGGCTCCCACAGGCTCCAGGAGGCCCCAGGAGACCACATGAGGTCCCAGGAGGCATCAGGAGGCCACAGAAAGACTCAAGAGGCTACAGGATGTCCCAAGAGGCTCCAGGAGGCCCCAGGAAGCTCCAGAAGGCTTCAGGAAACCACAGGAGGCCCCAGGAGGCAACAGGAAGCGCCAGGAGGCCTCGGAAGGCAACAGGAGGCCCCGAGAGGCCCCAGGAGCAGGAGGCCTCAGAAGGCAACAGGAGTGGCTCCAATCCCATGTGTTTTACGTATGCTCCTATCGATTGGGCCTCACCTGGAGCACGATTCTTTGATGTTCTACGTATGTTTCTATAGATGGTCCTTCTCCTGTGTACACAATCCTAAATGTTTTACTCATGTTCCTATGTATTGGGCCTCTCCTGGGGCACGAGTCCTTGGTGTTTTACGCGTGTTCCTATAGATTGCCCTTCTCCTGTGGCTCTAATCCGCAATGTTTTATGTACGTCTGTTGCTATAGATTGCGCCTCTCCTGGGGCACGAAACCTTCCTAGGAGGTCCCAGGAGGTCCCAAGAGGCTCCTGGAGACCCCAGGAAGCCCCAGTAGGTTTCAGGAGGCCCCAGGAGGCCCCAGGCTCATGCACAAAGACGCGCTCGTACTACTGAGGCTCATTCACACTCCAATTCATTCGCAGTTAGATTTATGTCCAGACCGTCACAACTGAAGCCCGTGTATATTCGAAAGCTCTTGCGCCTAGACATTCACGGCGGACAGGTCCATGCGAATAGATGCACATATGGGGAGCTCCACGCAGTGAATAATTCCCCATATCCAAAGATGGGGTTCTTGTTATTGGCGGACCGCGCCGGAAGGACACAGAACAGGACAGAACACCACACCCATCACTCAGACACACACGTAAGTTATTCCCCATATCCTAAGATGGGGTTCTTGATTCCCCATATCCAAAGATGGGGTTTTTGATTCCCCACTCACTCATCACTCAGACTCA